AAGTATGAAGAGGCTGGGGGGGGGAAGCAGGTGTAGCTTTGAGACTTAAGGGACGATGCTTTTAATATCCGGAGGCGTCTATGTGAATATCGTCTATGAGAATCACAAAGAATGTTACGGTTCAACTACATCTAGGTGCCGGTCAGAATAAAAAAATTTCGAGGGAAAAAGGGACTTGTTAGATTGGATTATCATCGATGTAAACGTGACGTTGAAATAATTCAGTGAATATCTCGAGAATGAAGGGGTTTACGAGGATTTTCGACAAAAGCTTTTTTGTAGGGAATTTAATTTCCTGGAAAACATGTGGAGCCGAAAATTTTGCTATCTCTCTTAGTTTTGGAGATATTCGCAAGGAAAGCCAATGCAAATGGACTTTAAAGCCCTACATTGTTGGATTTTTGGTGAAATTCAAGTGGCAGCATTTGAATTTTTCATTGAATTCAAATCCACAAAGTTGAAGATTGAATCACTCATGCGGTGCATTGTTCAATAGATTTTCCGATCGATGGAAGGCTTGTTGATAAAATATTTGAAGCATTATTCACTCGAAATTTGAAGAGTAATTTTTAATGAGTATTTTTGTTATTTGTTTCAGTTTGTGGTGATATTCACGGACAGTTCTACGACCTCATGAAATTATTCGAGGTTGGAGGACCACCATCCACAACAAAATACCTCTTCCTCGGGGATTACGTGGACAGGGGCTATTTTAGTATCGAGGTGAGTAAGAAAATTCACTCGCATAATCAATTATATTAAAAACATTCCCACGTTCACCATGATAACAGCCAGTTTCATTCAGTACAACTCCAAAAAATAAAGTTTTCAAGGTGAACATTCAACCGAGCGAAATAATACTCCACAGTGGATCAAAGCGTAGCTTCGGGGAAAAAAAAGAACTTTTAATGCTCGAATGTTATACGAAAACGTGGCGGGAGATTAAATTCATTTCACGATGCCAAGTGTTATAGTTTACGTGCCACACCTGTTACAACGTTGGCGAAGGTAAATTGTTAGGTCACCCACGATTCGGTGAATTTTTATCACACTTTATTTCTCCATATATTCAATGGAACAGGTCGGGATGTTTTCAACTCGATCCAGATGCTCGGTGGCTCAATAGTTATGTAATGGAGAGTAATAGCGTTCGGTAGCATGATCGGCCATGGGAGGTGATGGAGATAGAGGGATAGACAGTTGAATATTTTTGGTTGAAATTTTTATGGGATTATGATAGTCCAAATCGATTATTTGAAATTAATTTTATGGGATATTGATATTCCAAAATTTCGTGGAAATATATTCTTGAATTGTTGTATAATTGAAAATTCGGGGTATTTTGACACTGAATAATCATTTTTTGATGAGAAATTCAACTTAAAAAATTGGTATTTCCTAGAACTTTCAGTGAAATTTGGAATTCTAGGGTTTTTTCCCTCTAAATTAAATGCATAACATGTTCATAACATTTAGTTCTCATGATCATTCGTGGAAGATAATGAGACTTTTAAAATAATTAAGACGTTGAAATTTTTATCGGATTATAGTTTGAAATTTCAAAGAATTCTGTCATTGATAATCGAAAATTCCATGGAAAAATTGATGGAAACTGTAAATTTCTGTTCAATTATTCCATGAAACTTAATAGGAATCGGGAAAATCCAGTGAAATCTATTTTGGACTAATCGTATAATAGAAAATTCATTATTTTGATGGGAAATTCAGTTCATAAAGTTACTATTTCATTAAATTTTCAGTGTAATTTGAAATTCCACAATTTCTTTCCCTTTAAATTAAATTCAAATGTCCAGAACATTTTGTTCGTATGATCATTCGTGAAAGATAATTAAGAATATTGAATATTTTTGGTTGAAATTTTTATCGGAGTTTTTTTTATAGTTTGACTGAAATTTCAAAGAATTCTGTCGTTGATAATGCAAAATTTCATGGAAAAATCAATGGAAACTGCAAATTTTTGTTCAACTATTCTATGAAAATTGATAAAAATCGAGAAAATTCATGGAAATATATTCTTAAATTGTCGTGTAGTAGAAAGTTCAGGGTAATTTGATACTGAATATTCTTATTTCGATTGAAAATTCAACTAAAAAATGGGTTTTTCATTGAATTTTAATGTAATTTGATATAAATCAAATTGAAATATCTCAATTGAATTCAAATATCCACAACATTTCGTTCGCATGATCATTCATGGGAGATAATTAAGATAAAGCTAGACTGTCGAAAATTTTTGTCTGAACTCTCCGGTAAACTTCTTGGAAATTTTTATCGATTTATAGTTCGACTGAAATTTCAAACAATTCGGTCGTTAATAATCCAAAATTCCATGGAAAAATCAATGGAAAGTGCAAATTTTCGTTTAACTATTCCATGAAAATGAAAATTGTGAAAATTCATGGAAATACATTCTTGAATTGTCGTATAATAGAAAATTCAGAGTAATTTCGTATTGAATACTCGTATTTTGATTGGAAATTCAGCTCAAAAGTTTAGTATTTCACTGAATTTTCACTGTAATTTGTTATTAATTCGTAGTTGGTAGTCATATGCCACGATTTTTTCCCTCTAAATTAAACCCAAATGTCCACAGCATTTCGTTCGCACGACCATTCGCGTTGGATAATTAAGATAAAGCTATTATTCCACCGGGAAAATCACCAGAATTAATGACAGATAAAGCCAAACGGGCAATGTAAACCAAAATTCGCCAGGAGAGTGAGTCCACAATATTTGAAACTGTAGCTGATGTCGTGATCCCCCAGTGAAAATCCCCTTTTCGTGCCTTTTCACGAGTCTCAGGCGCATGAAAAGCTGACGGATAAAATCCAAATCGTGTGTGGATAGCATTATCCTCTCTGCCTTCCATTTTATTTATTTATTTTCCTTCTGAAAAATTCGTTCAATTCTCGGAGAGGGTTTGTTTCTTTCCAGTTTGAAATGCCTTCAAGACATTTTCATTCGCTTTGAGAGATTCTCGTGAACCAATTAATATCAGTTATAATTTTTTCCTCTCTTTGTTGGAGAGTATTTCATTAATTCTTTCTTTCATTCTCTTTCAGTGTGTACTGTACCTGTGGGCATTGAAACTGTGCCATCCAACGACACTCTTCCTACTCAGAGGCAACCACGAGTGCAGGCATCTCACAGAATATTTCACGTTTAAGCAAGAATGTGAGTTGATCGTGAGAGAATATTTATTTCGTTTTTATCGGTTGGAAGATGAAAAAAATCGGAGGCAAGTCGTCGATGTAAAATTGATGTTGAAATAATTTAGAGAATATCTCGAGAATGAAGAGGTCTACGAGGATTTTTGATATGACCTTTTTTGTAGAGAATTTGATTTTCTACGAAAAATGTTGAGACGAAAATTTTGCTATCTCGCTTAGTTTCTGAAATATTTACAAGGCAATCTAATGCAAATGGATTTTTTAAAAATTGATTTCAATTTTTTAGGAGAATATTTGTTTCTTTTATATTGATTGCGATGGAAAATTCTGGGACAAGTGAATATTTTTTTTATCTTCTACTGAAAAGAATAGTATTAAAATTTTATAATCTTGATTAGCTTTACAAATATCAGTTCAAATTTAATTTTAAAGTGACATTTGCATATCCCGTTTTTTTACTTTTCTACTTGAATATGAAAATTCGCATTATTCAGTTTTATAAGAATTTCGCGACATAAAAGAAGATAAATGTGATATTTCGGCAAAAATTTAAAAAAATTAAAAATGTTGTGATTAGGGGAGGTTGGGGTAAAACGGACACTTTTGAATTTTTTAAAAATGTTAATGGGGGGTTGAAAAGTTGATAAAATTCAATAATTTTTTTTTTCAATATAAAGAACAATTCTTCCCCTTTGTGACGAGTCTAAACTGAGCCCAATTGATCAATTTGTTTCTGAGTTATGAATAATTTTAAAAAAGTCTAAAATGTCCGTTTTACCCCACCCACCCCTAATTAAAGAAATTAAGCTGATTTTATTTAATGATCAATTCTTGGAGTATATCTCGAAATCTTATTATTTTATCTCTTAATTAATTAAGATATCTTTAATTAATCTGAACATCAATTCTTGACAATTTATTTTCATCAAGACATTTTTACGAAAAAATTATCCTAAAAAATATAAAACAATTCACATTTCGAGAGAAAAGACAGGAATCAAATGAAAGTCCTTCGTGTATTTCAAATAATTAACTTTTGTCTCCAAAACTAACAAAATTCATTGTGAAAAATCTAAAAAAAATCGTTATCTCCATTAATTCCGGATAATTAATTAAAAATTAAACTTGTCATACATATATCTCTAGGCTCTGAAAATTCAAATTATCCACTTGAAAAATTCCCAAAGAATGTCGCAGAGTAGAAGAAAAAAACAGAACGATGTGAAACTTGGAACGACTTGGCAGTGGTCCAGTCAAACACGTGCTTACACCCACAGCGGGCGGAATCTTTCGTAATCCCTCATACCCCAGCCAAAAGCGATTGTTTGCACCCGAGCATGTGTGGTATATAAAAAATACGAGAAGGCTAGTTGTTGAAAATCGCAACGACCCGGTTTATTCCGCTGAATCATTTGTTTCATAGCAGCTTGTTTATCTCGAAATTTTCTCCAAAAATACAGTTAGAGAATTGAGGGCGGATGATTGTCCCTTTTTCAATCGTTCGTCCCACATTGGCCTGTCAATCAAGCTCCCTCGAATGTCCTTCAGAGTGAAGAGAAGGTCCCTTAAAATTTTCGAAGAGTATTTTTTTCAGTCTATAATTAGGAGGAGGCAAAAATAAATAGAGGCATTTCACGTATTTTCACAGGAAGAAAAACAAACGAAAAATTGCGAGAAAATGCAGAAGAATGTATTTGTGTTTAGTGTGCTTTCCACGAAAAATGCGCAAATTTTACTGTTTGTTCGAGGATAATTACGTTGAAGCGATACAAATTTCTCCTAAACTTCAAATAAAAATTCCTGTGCCGTAGTTTTTATGGAGAAAACTAGAAAATTCACGCATTAATTCTCAATTTTCCTCGAATGTCAATTTTTTTTTTTCAATCTAAAATTAGCAAGAGGTAAAAATAAATAGTTATTTCCCGTATTTTCACAACAAGAAAAACATAAGCAAATAATTCCAAGAAAATGCAGGAGAATATATTTGTCCCCTGCACTTTCCACCAAAAACTCCACAATTTTACTGTTCGCTCGCGAAAATTTACATTGCAAAGGTACAAATTTGGATTATTCACATAAAAAAGGAAAAAACTGGGGTATTCACACATTAATTCTCACTTTACAGGTAAAATAAAGTACTCTGAAAGGGTTTACGACGCATGTATGGACGCATTTGACTGTTTACCACTTGCTGCCCTCATGAACCAGCAATTTCTCTGCGTACACGGTGGTCTATCCCCAGAAATTCATCACTTAGAAGATATTCGAAAGGTAAGACTACACACAGTGACAGTGACAGTGACATTGAATGCCATTTGAGTGAAAAAAATCATGAAATTTCAGGTTTCACTGAAAATTGAGTAAAATTCCAGAAGTTTAAGCAGTCTAAAGACGAGAATTTCTCAATTTATTTGAATTTCTAATCTAATGTGAACCTTTGGTGCCAAATTACATTAAATTTTCAGTGAAATCTGAAACTTTACGATTTGTTTTCCCCTAAATCGCATTCAGTGTCACTGTCCTGGAAATTCAAGAATATATTTACCCGAATTTTCTGGTTTTCTATTAATTCTCAGGGAAAATGGAACTGAAATTTACAGGTCTCGTTGATTTTTCTACAAAATTCTGAATTTTCAATGACAAAATTCCTTGAAATTTCAGTGGTATTTAAATTCGATGAAAATTTCCAAAAAGTGTACCGGAAATTTCGGACAAGAATTTTTAACAGTGTATAGGCAACTCAACCCTGAATTAATGCCCCTTGCGATCTCCTCAGTCCAACAATTGAGCAACAAGTCAACATTTAAGAATAACCAATACAAACTTTCCCCATAAAAATAAAATAGTCACGCGTAATTTCGTACATTTCATTTGAATTCATCAGTCTGGGGGCTTCATTCCCTCTAAAACTCCATCTATCAGAGATCCCATCAATTAGCCCCTCATGTATAGATATTCCAAATTTTTATTTTTTTCCTCATTGAAGTAGTTTTGAAGAAAATTGCGAGCTAATAAAAAACATTTGCTAGTTAGTACTTTTTTAAAAATAAATTTTTGAAAAATCATCTCTGAAAAAAAGGCGTTATCCCCTCTATTTCATTATTTCCAAAAAATTTTATCACCAATCGATAGCAAATTGTTTGAAGATTTTTGCGAGTTAAGAAAAAATCGTCAATGCAATCCTATTATTGTGTAAATTAACAATTCCAATTTCAACTGAAAACCAGAGTTGATGACCAGAGTTTGTAACAGAGATGTCAGACAAGATATGAATGTTTTTTTTGGCTCAAATGAAAGAGCGGCTCGAAAAATGGCGTGCAGAAGTCTTTAAAGATGACAAATGTCTCTAAAGATGATGTCTGTTTTCAATTGAAAATGGCAATTGTGACAACATTGTCCAGTGGGGTCTAGGAGTCTCCCATGGTTCATAGAAC